CTCTGCTTTAAGCTTTAGCTCAGCTATAGCTGCTTTTCCCACATCTCTAGCAGGAAACTTTTCCTCAAAAGTAGAATATTTACTTAAGAATGTCTTAAAATGTCTCTTAACGTTCTACTTTTACGAGGCTGAAGTCGCTTCTCGTTCGCCAGCTTCTTGTTTGAATTCTCCCGTCCCACCTTAAATGGTGCCTGAGGTGCCAGAATGTAACAGCTGCACCATTTAAGGTGGAATGGGAGAATTCGAACGAGAAGCTGGTGAATGAGAAACTTCAGCTTCATGACTTTTTAGTGTTTTACAGTGTTTTGTTGCAGATTAAACGTATCAGGAAACCAGCTGGAGTGATTATAAACTCAAATAAGTCCATTCGTCTCCAAATTATCAATGTTTGTCTTAAATCTCTCTCTTTGCCGTTTTGTAGCTACTAGCTAGGCGAGATTGCTGTCTGTGTTGCTATGGTGACCAGCAGTCTGCGCTGATCTTCAGGGTTAAAGGGTGAATTAGCAGTTCTACATTAACTCCAGAGTTTAAGACCATTTACTGTTAAACTGTGTTGAACGATCAGCAGAGCTTTATTTTACTGTAAAGGAGGATTATTTTACTTTTACCTACAAATCTGATTCTGCTGTGGAGCTGCGTGTTGCCGACCCCTGATATAGACTGATCCAGGCTGGGCTACTCTGGGCTAGGCTATGTAGGCTGAGCTAATCTGTTATCCATTATTTCACAGGAATGGAGATCCACTCACTGAGCGCCTTATTAGGAACGCTGCACTAATTCTGGGTGGGGCCTCGATCTGCTCTCAAAACAGCCTCGATTCTTCATTGCATTAATTCCACAAGATGTTGGAAACATTCCTTTGAGATGCTGCTTCATGTCGACATGATTGCATCATGCAGTTCCTGGTTTGAATTTCCCGTTCTACCACATCCCAAAGGAGTTCTACTGGATTCAGATGGTGGAAAAAAAACAAAGAGCAGAGAAAGCAGAGAAGCGTTTTTCAGTGTTAGGAGTGGTTTGTGGTTCTGGGTGATTTTGTTGTCCTGTGTTTCTTTATTAAAGCTAGTTTAATAGGCAGAACATGGAGCTGTGAGTAGTTTAGGCTGGTAGATGTGTATAACACACACACACACACACACACACACACACACACACACACACACACGACCACACAGCGCTCAACAGCCGCCCTGCTTCTCAGAATTAAACACCACATACAGTGCAAATGAACAGTGACCGTCTACTCACACCAGCACCGCCCGCACGTCTTGATTCTGTGGAAGGCCGATTACTGGTAATAGCATTAATATTAACACACCCCTTATGTATTATATATAGGCATTTACGCAAATATTTATATACACTAACATGATGCATAAATACGTATATGTGTGTGTGTGTGTGTGTGTGTGTGTGTGTGTGTGTCTGTGTCTGTGTGGTTCGTTAAGGGTTCTCCAGTAAAGACAGTGAACCATTAAACACTCAAATAACCATTTGGATACTAAAAGCGTTCTTGGCATGGTGAGATGGTTCTTCAGATTGATGGAGAACGTGTTGTATATGGTTCTGCACAGAACCTTTTTTAAAAGGGTTTTTCTATTGCTACAAGCTTGACATCGTAACAATAGCAGAACCCTGTTTAGTACTATATAGAACCCTTTTTGAAAAGGTTCTATATGGAACCATCTACAACACATTCTCCATCAATCTGAAGAACCATTTCACCATGCAAAGAACACTTTAAGCATGGAAAATGTTCTGTATAGAGCTCATGGTTCTAAATAGAATTTCCTGTACTAAAGAACTTTTAAAGAGACGTCATTTTTATTGTCTTTAGATAATAATGAGGTAATATGACCTATATCTATCTATCTATATATATATATATATATATGTTTGTGTATATGTTAATGTACCTTTCTATAATTATAATAGTCATGTTAATAATATTTCCTATATATAACTTCTCCTCGAGGAAGCCCAGTATTAACTCTAGTTGCCATCCTGTACCTGGTTTGGCCACTTAATGACTAATTAAATTAAATCCTCATAATCTAACAGATCCATGCAAAGCAGTCAAACTCTTCTAACGAGCTTTTAAGATTTTAACTACCCACCTTAGTAAAAATGGCTCTTACTGTTTACTCTGTTTATGTTTGTTTGGATCGATTTTGGAGACGCATGTTGTATCCTAGTGTATTAGAGATACACAGGAAATATGAATTTGCCTGCAGGTTTTACTTTCTGTTCGTAGTGGAGTTGGGTTTGTTGCTTAGACTCCCATACCTATAAACACAGGAAGCAGCTAATGCAAGCAAATCAGACACACACACACACACACACACACACACACACACACACGCACACACACACACACACACACGCACAACCACCAGCGAAACCACCAAAAAGCCCTGGCTGCTTAACGCTCTAATACTCCGGGTTGCAAGTCAGTTAGGGGCAAATTCGAGTCAGTCTGCAAGTCAGTTAAGAGCATGTGTCTGAGTCAAATTGCAAGACAGTTCAGTAGAGTCAAGTCAGTTCAGGGTGAGACCTAGCAGAGTCAAGTCTGTTGAGGGCGAGTCTGAGTCAGGTCACGAGTCAGTAAAGAGCGAATCTGAGTCAGGTCATAGTCAGTTAAGAGCAAGTCCAAGTGAGTCAGTTAAGAGCGTGTCTGAGACGAATTGCGAGTCAGTTAAGAGTGAGTTTGAGTCGTGTGTCAGTTAAGAGCGAGTCCTAGTTAAGTCTCCACTCTGAATCAAGTCACAACTCAGTTAAGTCTGAGTCTGAGTCATAAGCCGTGAACAGCGAATACAAGTTGATGAGTCTGAATTGAGGGCTGAGTCATTTAAGAGCGAATCTGAATCGTGAGTCTGTTTACGGCAAATCTAAGTTTATTCATGAGTCAGTTGGGGGCAAATCCTATTTAACTCGCAAGTCAGTTAGGAGTGAGTCTGAAATGGGCAAGTCCGAGTTGAGTCACAAGTCAGTTAAGAGCAAGTCAAGTTGCGAATCAATTGAGGGGCAAGTCTAAGTCGTGATTCAAATCCGCGTTGACTCACTAATCAGTTATAAACGAGTCAAAGTTGAGCCGTAAGTCAGTGAAGAGCAAATATGAGTTGAGTCGCAAGTCAGTTGAGTGCAAGTCTAAGTCGTAAGTCATTCAAGGGCGAATCCAAGTTGACTTACGATTCAGTTAAAGGGAAACTCCAACAATTTTTCAAAATTTCTGAATAAATTAGTCCTTGAGATGTAGACAGAGAGATTCAGAGTGGTTTGGTGTGAAATGGTTCAGATGTCTTTACAGTGGTGGTGATAGGAACCAGGGGTCGTCATGACTACAACACAAATATAGACATTTTATTTACTATCCAGAACCACCAGTGAACCTACACGAGTCTTCTGAGTTTATATGGAATGTTGATGATGGAAAATAGTGGAAAATCTGAAATAATTTTCCAAAAGTTTCTTTGGGGACTATTTTGCCTCATAACGCCCTGCATGTTTCCCTCTATTAAAATAAATTTAATAAAATACATTTTAAACCAAAACTTTATCACAAAACAGTGTCTCAGTCATCAGGCAGTGAATTCATAACCATTTCATGTAGTAACTTTCTGTGAGGGAGCTTTTAGAGGTGGACATCTGGTTCCTATCACCACCACTGTGAACGATTCTGACTCGGTAAGTTTCTCTAGAGCAGAGCGTTTCACACCAGACCGCTCTGAACGACTCTGTTTACATCTTAACCATCTAATTATGTAGAATATTTGACAAATTGGTGGACTTCCCCTTTCAGAGCGAATCCAGGTTGGATTAAACACCTGGAAGGTTTACTGTAGCAGAAACTTGTTGAAAAGCTGGATGTCTCCAAACTTTTGATGAACAGTTTCCATTGTATTGTAATTACGTGGTAACAGACTCTCCCCCCACCTCCACACACACCCAAACACACACACACACACACACTTTCACTTCTCTAAAGGACCGCTGTGTGTGTGTCATGTGTTTGTGTGGTGGGTCAGGCACGTGAGTGTCACCCGTTGTGATGGTGTGTTGTGTTCAGCTGGACAAGAGAAAGGTCAGACTTTAAATGTCACTTTTGGTCTGAAGTGCCTTCACAGGCATGTTTCACTGGACACTGAGCCACCTGCTGGTCACTCACTGTCACTACAACTGACTGCACATCACTGTCTGTTTATTTATTACTGTTTCATCTTTCTCAGTTTATAAGATTCTCTCTGTATTTGTGTTTTCTTTTCTCTCATTCTCCTCTCTCTCTCTCTCTCTCCCTATCTCTCTCTCTCATTTTTCCTCTGTTCTTACTCTCTCTTTTCTTCACTCTATTTTATTTTTGTCTAATTCATCTTATTTCTCACTCTATCTTTTTATTTCTTTCTCTTATTACTTTGTAATTTTAATTGTCCCTCTTTTCTTCCTCTCTTGCTTTTTTATTTTCTCATTCTCTCCCCTCTTTTTTACCGCTCTCATTCTCTTATTTTCCGCTCTATATCTTCCTCGTCCCCTCATTTTCTTGCTTTCTTTGTATTCTCTTTTTATTCTTTCCCTTCTTCTGAATTTTTCTCATATACTTTCTTCTTTTTTTATTCTCCCTCTCTCTCATTTTCCCTGTTCTTTCTTTTTCACTTCACTCTATTTTGTTTTTCTCTAATTCCATCATGTTTCTCACTCTTTTTTATTCTCTTATTCTGTCTATTTCTTCTCTTTCTTTCTTTCTTTCTCCCCTCCTTTTTTCTTTCTTCCTCCCTTTTTCATGTTTACCTCTTTTATTCTTTTTTCTCTCTTCCTTTGAATTTTTACTCTTTTTTTGCTCTTCTTCTTTCTTCCTCTAATTTTCCCTCTTCTTTCACACTCCTTCCCTTCCTTCTCCTTCTCACCTATTTTATTCTTCCTCTCCTCCGTGTTCTTCTGCTCTTATTCTCTTATTTTCCGTTCTATGTCTTTCTCATCCTCTCTCTCTCTCTCTCTCTCTCTCTCAGAATCGATGGACAGTCTGGCTCAGACTCCTTCCTCACCGCAGCCCTCTCCAGCTCTCTCCCCCCATCTCCCCTTCTCAGCCAATCAGGAAATGGTTGCCAATGGTAACACTGTGGTCAGAGACACGCCCAGTGAATCTGACAGCAGCCCACCTCTCGACTACCTCTTGCTGTCCCAGTGTGAGACCGGCCCGAAGTGCAACTCCAGGCAAGCTCCGCCCACCTACATCATCACATCATCACATTAATGTTCATCTACACCACGTAAAAAAGATGGTTCTTCACGGCTTTAGTAAATGCAATGGTTCTATCTGGAACCATGTATTCTATATAGAACCATTTCATGCTTAAAAGGTTCTTTGGACAATGTGTCGTATGTGTTCTAAATAAAACATTTTGAAAATGGTCTTATATAGCACCAAAAAGGTTCTTCTATTTTCACACTCTTAAAAAGATGGTTCCCTTTAGAGCCTTTTTGAAAATGGTTCTATATAGCACCAAAAACGTTCTTCCGCTGTTACACTTAAAAAAAAAAAAAAATTGGTTTTATGTAGAGCCTTTCTGAAAATGGCTTTATATAGCACCAAATAGGGTTCTGCTGTCAAGCATGTAACAATAGAAGAACACTTTTTGGTGTTGTATAGAACCCTTTTCAAAAAGGTTCTATATAGAACGATATACAACACATTGTCCATCGACCTGAAGAACCATGTCACTATGCACAGAACCATTTAAGCAGACTCATGGTTCTAAATAGCTCAGAATCACTCGTCGTATTGATAAATGTTGTTTATATTAGATGATAAGCAATGGAGACTGAAATATTTAACAACATGTTATTAAACAATAAATAAAATAATGTAAATAATCATTTTTGTAGTTCCTGCCGCCGTTTAAATACAAGGCAGTTTGAATGTCAATTTTACTATAACATCATTCTGGTTATTAATCCTATTAGACTTTTTCTAGAAATTAATCTTATTAGAGCTTCTGAGTATTAATTTAATTAGAATTTCATTCTGAATATTAATTTTATTAGAACTGTTCATTATTTGGACACAGCTAACATTCATTTTCTGCAGTTACTAATTAGCTGAAATATGTATTTTTGGTAGTTAAAAAAACTAAAGCATGCTAATCCCAGTATGGAAACTGCATTGAGGCTCCTTCACTGGAATCAAAAGGCAGCTAAAACAATAGAAAAGACAAATGAATATCCTCTCGTTTCTCTGGCTGTACATGCGTCTGGCTTCATCCTCGTTTACCAAAGTACAGTTTAGTTTAATTAGTCATCTTGTGGGAGCTCAGATGCAGCGTGCCGAGAGATAATGGATGGATGGGTTGAAAGGATGAAGCCTGTTGAATATTTTATCCTCCGAGTCAGAGTGCTAAGAAAAGGACAGACAAAGCACGCAACTCGCAGTGTGACGTCAGCAAATCGTACCAACCTAAACCTTCTGGAGATCTACTCTCCTATAGACACTACCAACCCTACGTCTGGAGATCTACTCTCCTATAGACACTACCAACCCTACGTCTGGAGATCTACTCTCCTATAGACACTACCAACCCTACCTCTGGAGATCTACTCTCCTATAAACACTACCAATCCTACGTCTGGAGATCTACTCTCCTATAGACACTACCAACCCTACGTCTGGAGATCTACTCTCCTATAGACACTACCAACGCTACGTCTGGAGATCTACTCTCCTATAAACACTACCAACCCTACCTCTGGAGATCTACTCTCCTATAGACACTACCAACCCTACGTCTGGAGATCTACTCTCCTATAGACACTACCAACCCTACGTCTGGAGATCTACTCTCCTATAGACACTACCAACCCTACCTCTGGAGATCTACTCTCCTATAGACACTACCAACCCTACATCTGGAGATCTACTCTCCTATAGACACTACCAACCCTACATCTGGAGATCTACTCTCCTATAGACACTACCAACCCTACGTCTGGAGATCTACTCTCCTATAGACACTACCAACCCTACATCTGGAGATCTACTCTCCTATAAACACTACCAACTCTACATCTTTAGATCTACCCTCCTATAAACCCTACCAACCCTACGTCTGGAGATCTACTCTCCTATAAACCCTACCAACCCTACGTCTGGAGATCTACTCTCCTATAAACACTACCAACCCTACATCTGGAGATCTACTCTCCTATAAACACTACCAACCCTACATCTGGAGATCTACTCTCCTATAAACACGCAAAAAACGCATATAATTCCGATCAACTTTACATCTGGAGAGGTACTATCCTACAAACTTTACATCTGGAGATCTACCTTCTTATAAATTGTGCCAACCCTACATCTGGAGATCTATTCTCCTATAAACCCTACCAACCCTACATCTGGAGATCTATTCTCCTATAAACCCTACCAACCCTACTTCTGGAGATGTACTCTCTTATAGATTATACCAACCCTACATCTGTAGATCAACTCTCTTTTAAATGATACCAACACTACAAACCCGACATCTGGGGATCTATTGTCTTATACATCGTACCAACCCTACATCTGGGGATCTATTCTCCATTAAATTGTACCTGCCATACGTCTGGAGATCTGCTCTCCTGTAAATCCTACCAACACTACACCCGGATATTTAATCCTTATAAATCTTACCATCCCTACATCTGAAGATCTACTGTCCTATAAATGTAACTCTAGCTTAACTCTGGGGTAACTAGGGGTAATTCAGGGGCAACGCCATAGTAACTGTGGGGTGACTGTGGGGCAACTATGGAACGGCTCTGAAATAACCTGTCAAATGTCATGCAAAATTCCATTAATGCATTGATTGTGTATGTAAACTGATCACTAGGGATGCCTCTCTTTATTGTCTAATTGTAGACGTCTGATTCTGATTGTTACGTCTGATTCACAGGTGTGACAGCGTATCAAATTCGGAGCATTCGTTCGAGCAGAGTTCTTTGGAGACCATGTCAGAGGATGTGTTTATTTCCCCAGTAGTGACTGACCCATCCCCCTCACCCTTCAACAGCGCCCCCTCCTGTCCGCCGCAACTGTCCTCCTCCGCCTCACTGTGCAGCGGTCCAGGTGATGTGTTCTGCTTCGACCGCCCATTCTGCACTTCCCCCGAAACACACACCCCCCCACCACTCCCACCAAAACCAACACACCTCTCCGATCACCACGGCAATGATGACACCACACGTAACCACTGGCAACCAAGCCTCCTCCCCCGCAGGACGTCTCTGTCAGGTCTGGAACTTTTCAGAAGAGGTACGGACATGCCCACCTACACACACACGCCCACAACACACACACACACACGGAAATATATACTTCATTAGGCCCACTAGTGTTTCTACACTCATTGTCCATTTTATCAGGTACTATTTGGGTGGTGGATCATTCTCAGCACTGCAGTAACACTGACGTGGTGGTGGTGTGTTAGTGTGTGTTGTGCTGGTGCGAGTAGATCAGACACAGCAGTGCTGCTGGAGTTTTTAAACACTGTGTCCACTCACTGTCCACTCTGTTACACACTCCTACCTTGTCAGTCCACCTCGTAGATGTAAAGTCAGAGACGATAGCTCATCTGCTGCTGCACAGTCTGTGTTGGTCATCCTCTAGTCCTTCATCAGTGGTCACAGGACGCTGCCCACAGGACGCTGTTGGCTGGATGTTCTTGGTTCTCAGTCCAGCAGCGACACTGAGGTGTTTAAAAACTCACCCAACACACAATCACACCACCACCACGTCAGTGTTACTGAGAATGACCCACCACCCAAATAGTACCTGCTCTGTGAGGGTCCATGGGGGGTCCTGACCACTGAAGAACAGGGTAATAAAGTATGCCGAGAAACAGATGGACTACAGTCTGTAACTGTAGAACTAGAGTGAAACTATGTGGTCAGTGGAGCTGATAAAGTGGACAATGAGTGTAGAGATATGAGCATATTTCCCATGTCTTTGACACAGGACTGTGCAAAAGGTCCAGGAACCTGAGAAAAAAATATTTAAAATATTCATATTACCGTAAATACAAATATCATCAGCCAGTAGCTGGTTTGGCTAATCAATACTTATTTAATCAGCTGCTCAAGGACAAATCTAGAACCAAACCTGTGCTAATATAACCACCTCAAAAGATATTCAGCTATTCATATTTATTTAATTATAAGTTGTTTTTTGCAAGCATAGACATAATTTGCACATAAATTGCCCAAATAAATAGTTTTAACAATTATCGCCTTTGTTCTTAAAATGTCTTAAAACAAACACACACAAACACTAAATAAATAAATAAAGTTATTACTCTGTATATATAGATAGAACTTTCTGGCAGAAATGTCTCACAGGAGGTTGGAAAATGTCTATACACACACACACACACACACACACACACACACACACACACACACACACACACACACACACACACACACTGCATGACAATAAGTGCTTCCAGTAAAGTCAATATTTCCACACAGTGTCTGAGCTCACACTTGTGTGTGTGTTGGTGGTGTAAATGGGAGGCTGCTGAGTGCGTGTGTGTGTTCTTGTAGTGCTATACTTGTGAGGACCCTATGTCCTCACTATAATAGGTCTATATGAATTTTTGGCTCAAGTAAGGACATTTTGCTGGTTCTCACTTGAGCATGTGTTGATTTTACAATGACTTTTTTTATTTGAAATCTTAAAGAGCAGAAACATTGTGTTTTGGATACTGGGGTTAAGGTTAGGTTTAGGTTTAGGTGTAAGTATTATTTAGCTACAGTAATACAAAAATTAATAGAGACCTATGGACGTCCTCGTATGTATGGCAAGACAAACGTGTGTGTGTGTGTGTGTGTGTGTTAGCATAGACACGGTTGGGCTTTGATCACAGTGTTCATGCAGATACACTGACATTTTGTTGGTTTGTTGACATTTCCACAGAATTTGACTTCAGCACTAAAGGACACTGGAGCAAAAGACTGAGTCTCAACCTGGTAAACACCCACAACACTCACACTGGCTTTAACAGATTTCAGAATATCCCACAATTAAACTGAAAAAAAAAGCGATTTAATGAAAAGATAACATAATTATTAAAGATACACTAGGTATGTTTTGGAGATTTGGAGACCTCTCTGGTGGAAATGTGTAACTGCATACATTGTGCACAAGAACATTCATTAAAAACGAATAATATTCCTTCTGTCCTCACATGATCGTGCCTAACAACGGGCAGACAACGTACAGTGATCAGATGGATGAGTTTAAGGAGGTTTACGTTACTCAACACCTGCTATTTTACACTTACAAATATATATAGACCAATATATATAAACCAAAAATATATAATTGCATCATTTTATAAAATACAAAACTCTATTTGAAGGCTATCTACTTCTTTAATTTGTGTATTGATTTGTCTTTTTGATTCTTGGCCTTTGACCAAAAACATTATAATACAAAGTTTTGGCACCCCCGCTTGTCTTATATGTAACGTCAGTTTGTTTATTTACTGTTCATAAAAGAAGCTGCACACCAATGATTATAATATGTTACAATTAAAAGGGAATTCCACCATTTTTTTTTTAAATTTCAGCAAAAATAAATAATTTGGATGTAAACAGAGTCGTTCAGAGTGGTTTGGTGTGAAACGCTTCGTTCTAGAGAAACTTACAGTCAGAACTGTTCACAGTGGTGGTGATAGGAACCAGACATCCACCTCTAAAAGCTCCCTCACAGAAAATTACTACATGAAATGGTTATGAATTCACTGCCTGATGACTGAGACACTGTTTTATGATAGGTTTGCGAAGATGCAGGGCGCTGTGAGGCAAAATAGTCCCCAAAGAAAACTTATTATTTCAGATTTTCCACTATTTTCCATCATCAACATTCCATATAAACTCAGAAGACTCGTGTAGGTTCACTGGTGGTTCTGGATAGTAAATAAAATGTCTATATTTGTGTTGTAGTCATGGCGACCCCTGGTTCCTATCACCACCACTGTAATCAGTCGTGGCAATAGTACCATTTATTAGCACGGTGCTAACTGGTGGATTGTAAACCATCGCAAACTTGCCTCAAAACCCTCAGCGATCTCTAATCTCTAATTATTGAATACCACAAACACAGAATTCTGTCATATATAGATTAAGTTCTCCTCTCTTTCTCTCACTGTAGCCGGTATTGTTGCCCACCGCTGTGTCCGAGAGCCAATCAGAAGACTCCTATGTTCCGATGACATCTCCAACAGTCAGCTCTTCCGATGCTGGCTCAGATGGATACATTCCAATGAGCCCCACCCTCTCTGCTTCTCTGCTGACCAATGGAAAAGCAGAATCTCCTCTTCCTCCCGTCCCCGACATGGAGCCCCCTCCAGTCAACCGCAAGCTGAAGCCCAGGATACGAGGTAGACTCTGAGGGAAGCTTCTCACTGGGAGCCTTCAGTTTTCACCAATCCAGCACAACATACACACTCCCTAACATATAAACGGGGCTCGGAAATTGGTTAGAGCAAAATAACGAAACAGCTGATTCTGTTCATTTACTTAATGTAATGAAACGTAAAATAAAAAATAAGATTCGAAAACTTAAAAATTTAGCCTCGCTGACTCCAAACAACTGTACGGTTTTTTGGGAAGATTTACAGTTTTGTTTCTGTTCCAGGCAAAAATCGTTCATCGTTTTCAGAGCAACAATATTCAAAAGAGTCTTAAGGACAGATTTAATAAGAGAGGCTTTAATCGATGATGGTCTACAGATTGTTTGTGCTGGTGGGCGTGGCCAGTTTAGCTGGTTATCTATTAAAAATGTTCAAATGTAAATAAGCTCTGGTGCAACTTCATAATTAACTCAATATAAACCTCTATATTATCCATGCACTTGTAAAGAAGGCAATTTCTGCCAAAAATGACGGGAAAAAAATGTTGTTTGTTCATCATTTTTTCCGCTCACCATTTCTGGAAGCAGTGTGTCCATATTTTAACGTTTTATGACTTTTTCAAAATAATGACTTGTTTTCTCATCTTTTCACTCTCTTTTGACTTAGCAGCTATTATGTTGACTCATTTAGTCATGAATTTAAGAAAATAAGTCTTTTTTGATACAATAAGGCAAACAAAATTGTATTTCATCTTAATAATAAATCAACATTTTGTCTACACCTCAAAGTTTTTTTAAGAAACAAATTATATTGAGAGATTAACCATTTAAGGTCCTTTTAAAGTCAACCTAAAATAAAAATGAACCTTTTTGTTTACCTGGTTAGTTCAGTTTTTTGCTTATATTGAGCAGGAATTGTCAAATCATATCATTTAAAGGACTAAATTTACTGTCGTTCAAATGTAACAACTTCAGTTTCACTTCTAAAATATCTTCTAATTTTTGATGACATCACTGTGCACCAGTGGGTGGGGCACACGTCTCATAGCAAGCAAATACGTCACACTACAGAAGGAACATATGCAGTGAATTCATATTCACGCTGACTCTGCATTTGGTTGGGAAAAATGCAAAAGTTTGCGCACGCTTGGTCAAATTTTATATTTTTGTTGATTTTCTAAGCAAAAATAAGTTCATATGTTCTTTACGAAGAACACACCTCTGCACGTTTAATGCACAATCACTTTTTATTTACTGAATTTAGCATATTTTGCACACGCAAAAGTTACAGCACATTAATTTTATGTTTTATTTTTTCCCCCAATATGTTAAACTATAAAAAATTATGCAATAAATTTAGGAGAAAAATTACATATTTTAGTGTGTCCTCTGTAAAGGATGTGTTCACTTATTCACACTTAGAAAATCAACAAAAACATGTCATTTGAGCCCACATATTTGCATATAACAGTACTTTATTTTTGCATATTCATATTTGTTTCTACATATTTGTACATATTTCACATATTTGTATGAAATTTTACTGCATATTCGCCCAAAGTCTCTTTGTCAATTGGTAAATAATTGTGATGGGAATGAGTTTTATTGATAATCTCAATATGTGATCTAATAAGCCCAATCAATAATATAGCATTACTGACCATCAGTTAATCAGCAGATTCCTCAAGGTACATAATGTCCAGCAGGAGTGGTGGTCAGCTTGTTTGGTGATTGCAGCATGAAGATTATCATAACTGGAACTTCTTAATCAGTTTCGTAGTGTCATCAGATCTAAATATAGTGTAGATGTCACATAGAGAGAGACCATGATGATGGGAAGGCCACAGAGAGGAAACAGATCATGGACTGATGGAAAAGGCACTGACCTCATGGAGGAAGAAGATATTCTGAGTGACCAGCAGTTTACAGTTTACAGAAAACTAGTCTTACTGACCTGTAGATGGTCCATGTATCAGAATAATAACAACAAATCCAACGAAGCTCATCTGAGAAGCTGAAACACGTTACAGCGTGAGGGTCAGCGTTGGGTTTCAGGTTGCAGTTATGGTCAAGACAGGAATTTAGACCCTGTTTACACCTGGTCACTTCCTGTGTCGAGTATCTGGATTGTGTTCTGATTAGATTTTAGCCACATGCATTTACACTCGGTAGTCAAATGTGTCTCCAGTTAGCCAGACTGGAATCTGATTGCTGTGTGAGATGGAATATGCAAATTAGCTTGTTACACGGCAACCAATTACCAACTGTTCATCTGTTCAGCCTCTTCGTTTGCAGTTTGGGGTTTTGTTTGTACTAAGAGGGGTTTCGGTTGTACTGGGAGGAATTTGAGTTGTACTGGGAGTGGCTTTGGTTGTACTGGGAAGGGTTTTGGTTGCACTGGGAGGAGTTTCAGGTTGTACTGAAAGGAGTTTGAGTTGTACTGGAAGGAGTTTTGGTTGTGCTAGGAGGAGTTTGAGTTGTACTGGGAGGAGTTTCGTTTGTACTGGGAGAAGTTTGAGTTGTACTGGGAGTGGCTTTGGTTGTACTGGGAAGGGTTTTGGTTGCACTGGGAGGAGTTTGAGTTGTACTGGAAGGAGTTTGAGTTGTACTGGGAGGAGTTTTGGTTGTACTAGGAGGAGTTTGAGTTGTACTGGGAGGAGTTTTGGTTGTACTGGGAGGAGTTTTGGTTGTACTGGGAGGAGTTTGAGTTGTACTGGGAGTGGCTTTGGTTGTACTGGGAGGAGTTTTGGTTGTACTGGGAGGAATTTCGTTTGTACTGGGAGGAGTTTCAGGTTGTACTGAAAGGAGTTTGAGTTGTACTGGGAGGAGTTTTGGTTGCACTGGGAGGGGTTTTGGTTGTACTGGGAGGAGTTTGAGTTGTACTGGGAAGGGTTTTAGTTGTACTGGGAGGAGTTTCGTTTGTACTGGGAGGAGTTTGAGTTGTACTGGGAGGATTTTGAGTTGTACTGGGAGTGGCTTTGGTTGTACTGGGAAGGGTTTTGGTTGCACTGGGAGAAGTTTCAGGTTGTACTGGAAGGAGTTTGAGTTGTACTGGGAAGAGTTTGAGTTGTACTGGGAGGGGTTTCGGTTGTACTGGGAGGAGTTTTAGTTGTACTGGGAGTGGCTTTGGTTGTACTGGGAGGGGTTTTGGTTGCACTGGGAGGAGTTTCAGGTTGTACTGGAAGGAGTTTGAGTTGTACTGGGAGGGGTTTCGGTTGCACTGGGAGGGGTTTTGGTTGTACTAAGAGAAGTTTGAGTTGAACTGGGAGGAGTTTTGGTTGTACTGGGAGGAGTTTCAGGTTGTACTGGAAGGGGTTTTAGTTGTACTGGGAGGAGTTTCGTTTGTACTGGGAGAAGTTTGAGTTGTACTGGGAGGAGTTTGAGTTGTACTGGGAGGGTTTCAGTTGTACTGAGAGGGTTTCAGTTGTACTGAGAGGAGTTTGAGTTGTACTGGGAGAAGTTTTGGTTGTACTGGGAGGAGTTTGAGTTGTACTGGGAGGGGTTTTGGTTGTACTGGGAGGAGTTTTGTTTGTACTGGGAGAAGTTTGAGTTGTACTGGGAGGAGTTTGAGTTGTACTGGGAGGAGTCTGAGTTGGACTGGGAGGGGTTTTGGTTGTACTGGGAGGGGTTTTAGTTGTACTTGGAGGAGTTTGAGTTGTACTGGGAGGGGTTTTGGTTGTACTGGGAGGAGTTTTGTTTGTACTGGGAGAAGTTTGAGTTGTACTGGGAAGAGTTTGAGTTGTACTGGGAGGGGTTTTGGTTGTACTGGGAGGAGTTTGAGTTGTACTGGGAGGGGTTTGAGTTGTACTGGGAGGAGTTTTGGTTGTACTGGGAGTGGTTTTGGTTGTACTGGGAGGGTTTCAGTTGCTCTGGGAGGGTTTGGGTGTTGAGTGTATCTTGGAGAGACGGATGTGTTTACGCTGCTGTAACATTGTCACTCAAATGCGTCTCAGTTCTCCTCCTGAAGTGGTTTGACTGATCAGATCTGTATCTGTCTTAAATGTGTCTTAAGTGCCTGAGTGATGTTAAGCTTGTAACAATAGAAGAACCCTTTTTGGTGCTCTGTAGAATCTCAAGAAGGTTCTATATACAACCACATACAACACATTGCGGCTCTGAATGAAAAAGCTTTCCATCTCGCCAAAATTGCCGATTCAGTTTAGTTTGAGCTTCATGGCTGCAGTCTGGACTAAATGTGGGTCACTAAGTGAAGCTGCAGGTCTAGTCAGAGAAGAAAAGCTCTTAAACTTTAGCTAACTTCGCTACTACAGTGCGCCGCATTACCCTGCAATTTTTCGGTGCTGCGGCCACCATCAGGTGAAAGGAAGAACTGCAGCACTCTGGCTGGCTATAACACACTCTAAAACAGAAACCACAGACCAATTAAAATCTGTCCATAGGCCATATTTGGCCCTGGGGCCAGACTTTGGACACCTCTGTATGTATGATGTACAATTATTGACCAGTTATTCTGATATTTGAGGGAACATTCAAGAGTGGATATCCACTTAACCACAGTGAAGGAAAACAATGCCAAAAAAAAAAAATTCCATTTTAGAGGATAGCAGCACGCAAAGCAACGTTTTATTCTTCAAAAACAGCCAAGGAACCCAGAGTAACAGAGGCTGCCTCTTCAGATGAGCCAACAGAGTCTCGGATGCTTATAAGGACTCCTGCCATCCTCTACACCCCATATGTCAAACACAAAGCCCACGGGACAGATCAGGCCCGCCACACAATCCTATCCGGCCCACAAAAGTATTTTAAATTTCTATTAATATTAGCCTGTTAAACAATGCGCTGCACAACCATCCCCAGCATGCACTGCAACGTAATGTGTGCTCTGACTCTCCTACCCCAACAGCAATCTATGGGACACTGGTTACACCTCAATCCTACACAACTCTATGCAAGTCCACACCTTTTATATCACCAAACACACTCACTGCATTTCAGCTGCAGTTCAACCATCTTAAACACCTAACGTTAGCCCAGCAGCTAATGGATATTTTCAGCCCTCGGATTGTTGAGATGTTTTAATATGGTCCCTTTTGTGGTTGGGTTTGACATCCCTGCTCTACATGAAGTCATAGACACGATGTGCCCTGTTAGTTTGTCAGAGAAATACGTTTTCACGGTTTCTGGACCTGGCGAACATCAGCTAGAGTGGCTAGGCGAGTTAGCAACACAGCAATGCTATCTCCACCTTCTCTATCATGTTCTTATCAGCACGTCTCTGCCAACGTGCTCAAATTCAGGCTCTCGTGTTTCAGAGGAGCAAAATATAACAATCACTCGCAAATACAAGCAAAACCCGTCGTGTTTCACTGAACTGTCAGCCTGTCTTTATTTAGATACACTGTCATTCTGCGATGAATGTACCTCAACAGTGATTTCAGTATTTGAATACTGGCAGCTTGTGCAGCTAAACGTCCCTGTATGCATCCCTAGTTTGTTCACTGTTCAACACAGTGATGTTTTCTTGTTAATATATTTTCTTATTAACTTTGCAGTGAGGCCACCACCGCTTGACCTGAGGGGACTGTCCACTATTCGCGAGTTTCCCGCCCACTGCCCGTTGATCCGCACCATGACAGAACCAAGGTGAGCAAAAAACCCATCACACCATCCTTCGGTGTTTCCACATCATTCTCTCTGCACCCTCTTTCCTTTCTCTCTCTCTCTCTTTCCTATTTCCACATCTCGTTTTCCATATTTCACATCATTTTAATGAGAATGTTTGTCTTTGCCGTTTACTGTTTACTGTAAGTGTCCTCATTTCTTGCGTTTCTCCCCTCATATCCAGCGCCTCGGCTCACTGTATTCCACTGGATAGACGGTGGGGGCGGGGCCTAAACAGCTTTGAACAGGAAGGTGTCACGCCCACGGTAACACGACTTGCTCTCTCTTGTTAATTATTGATCTTTCTTTTCCCAGAACGAGAGAGAGAGAGATAGAGAGAGAGATGGAGAGATAGTGGAACACTGAGGGCAGCAAAATGAGCCATGAATAAAAGACAGAAACAAGCAAGTTAGGCACACAGTCTAAAGAGCTTGTAGGGCAGCTTGAATAATTTATTATAATTTATTAATTTATTATATTATAAAAAAACAGAAAAGAACCCAAAACTCCGGAATTAAAGAGCAGCTTGTCTCATGAAGTCCTGACTAATAGAGGTTCCGTAAATATTCTGTAAAATGATGCTTATGATACTTCAAAGCAGACTAGAGCCGAATGCTTTGTTCACATGTTTGCATTAAAAAAACGTCATTCTGCACCTCATAGTGGTTTGCGGCCAACAGTGGCATGAAGCCACAAAAACGTTGCCATGGTGATGGTGGTGCTGATGATTATCAGAGGGGAGCTTTAGCAGCGTAGATTGTTTATTTAAGGTGGAAAAAATCTGATGTTGAAGAAAAGAAGGCGGCCCTTAACAGGCAGTGTGTGTGAGTGTTTTTACCTGTGTGTGTTGGCAGACGTTGTTTTCTGCGTGTGACTCCGCCTCCTGGTTCAGGCGCTTTCACCTGGATTACCTGTCACTGGACTTTGACTCCGCCTCCCCCTCACCTGTCCAGAAGGTAAGCAGCAATTTATGTTTATGATGTGAAAAATAGTGCAGCTGTTACAGGATTTGCGTCAACGTGCCTTACATTGTTTAAATAAATCGGACATTTTTAATTTCAACAAAGAAATGAAACCTATTAATTTAATATACACTTAAACAGACAGTGTTCTTTTTTCATACATCATCTAAACCGCTTATCCTTCTGGGTCGCGGTGCGGTGCTGGAGCCTATCCCAGCTGTCATTGGGCAGAAGGCAGGATACACCCTGGACAGGTCGCCAGTCCATCGCAGGGCAGACAGACATACACATTCATACACACCTAGGGGCAATTCAGCACATCCAATCAGCCTGAATGCATGTTTTTGGACTGTGGGAAGAAACCGGAGTACCCGGAGGAAACCCACGCAGACACGGGGAGAACAGACAAACTCCACACAGAAACGACCCTGGTCACCCGGCCGGGAATCGAACCCAGGCCATTCTTGCTGTGAGGCGACAGCGCTACCCACTGCGCCACCGTGTCGCCTCTTTTTTCATAATTATTGATCATTTTTTTGCTTTTATTTTTAAAACGTACTGTTTCACCTTTAGCTGCTATATGTATAAAAAGTGCTCCAAATAAAAATAAGGCTGTTTTTAATATTATAATAAGCAAATGAATAAAACGATAATACTATTAAAAGAAATGAAAATGATATCAAAATTAATATAATTAACAAAATCTGACAAACAGTATAAACGTCACTGCTGACGTTTTTGTAAATTGCATTTTGATTTAATCTTTTGCAAAATGTGCTTAAGGTCAATGGAAACCTGCCTACTGTAAATCAGAAACAGGAACTGACGTTTAAATTTCCTTCTTTCATTTTTTAATCTTCAGTTCGGAGACATCAGGTGTTTAAAATGTCTGAAACGTAAAAGAAAACGAGAAGGAAAGACAGAAAGACGTCGTGTTTTCAGTTCTGTTGAATAATGAATGTTCAGCGGAGGGTTTAGCGTCAGCACCTGTCTCCGCGCTTGTGTAACAACCGTGTGTTTGGTGGGAATCAGCAGGGCTGCGGAGGACGAGTCTTCCGGAATGAACCAGCTTCATGTTTTGATGTTGATGAGGTGGCTGATTAAATATGCTGAGTGAGGCGCTGATGAGTCAGCGTTTTCTGCTCCAGCTGTTTTAGCTCAGCCTCTCTGAGTGTGACTCAGCACTGAACGACCACGTCTCCTCAGTCACCCACAACCAGACCGACACCTCACACAGTGGGAGCAAAACAGAAAGACCGCAACACACGAGGATTCTACAGAATAGAATAGAATAGAATAGAATAGAATAGAGGAGGAAATATATTTTAAAAGACAGAAAAGAGTAAACAGCAAATAAATAGAACAGAATAGAAGAAAATGGTAAAATAGGAGAAAGGACAAAACTCAAGTAAAACAGAAAAGACTAAATAAAAATCTAAATGAAACAGAAGATAATAAAACAAAATAAAATAATTAAAAATAAAATAAAGAATAGAGTAGAAGAGAAGAGAATGGAATAATTGAACCATATAGAATGTTGTAAAACAGAATAGATCAAAATAAACACAGAAAAAATAAATAGAATAGAATAGAATAAAATAGAATAGAACAGAATGTGAGAATGTAGAATTGAAGTTGAGTAGATGGGAGAGAACAGAATAGATAGAATAAAAGAAAATCAAGTAGAATAGAATAAGTTTGAGAGGAATAAAATAGAGGGAACTGGAATAGATGGAAGAGATTAAGTAGAAAGAGTGGAAATATGATAGAATAGAAGAAATCAGAATAGAATAAATTTGAATAGAAAAGAATAGAATAAAACAAAATAGCATAAAATTAAATGAACTATAATAAAATATACAAAATAATAATAAAATATAATAAAAATAAACGAAGAGTAAATAGAAAATCAAATAGAAAAATAAAAAATATAATACTATAGAATTCAGGAAAGTAAAACAAAATAAAAGAAAATCAAATAGAAAGGACGAAAATAGAATCAAATAAAATAGAAATTCAAATATGTGGGGAGAAACGGAATAGAACTAAAGAAAGTAAAGCAGAATAGAATACAGGAGAAAAAAAATAGAACAGAATAGAATATAATACAATAGAAAAAAAACAAAGACAGGAAGAAAATAGAACTGAATTTCAAATAGAATGGAATTCAAAGGAATAAAATAGAAATTAGAATAGATGAGGAGAACAGAATATATTATAATAGAGGAAAATAAATAGAATAGAATATGAACCAATAGAATAAAATTCAATGGAATAAAAGAAAAGAAAATCAAATAGAAATTAGAGTAGAATAGAATAGAATATAGAATAAAATATGAGTAGAATATAATAAAAGAAAATCAAATAGAATAGAATAGAATGGAATAGAATAGAATAGAATGGAAGTAGAAGGAATAAAATAGAAGAACATAGACGGGGAGAATGGAATATAATATTAGAGAATGAAAAAAATAAATAAAATCAAAATTGAGAAATTAATATAGAATAGAATAGAATAGAATAGAAATTATAATAGAATGTAAGTAGAAGGAATAAAATAGAAGAACGTAGATGGGGAGAATAGAATATGATATTATAGAATGAAATAAAAGAAAATCAAATAGAAATTGAGAAATTAGAATAGAATAGAATAGAATAGAATAGAATAGAATAGAATAGAATCTCCTCACTGTGCGGTGCAATAGAGAAAATATATTTTTTTATTATTATCACTTTACATAGTGATGTCGTTTACAGTGAGTTTCAGTGTTTGATGATGGCAGTTACAGTGTTTGTTTGTTTGTTTGTTTTTCCAGAAGCCGCTGCTGGACGAGCAGCGGGTGGACTACGTTCAGGTGGACGAGAAGAAGACTCAAGCACTGCAGAACACCAGGACAGAGTGGAAGGACCAGCGCCAGTCCAAAAGCGTAACGCCCAGCAGGGAAGAACCCGGACAGAGAACTGAAAACTGAAAGAGAAACGAGAGAAGAGAAGAGGAGTGAAGGAGCGCGAGGAGGAGAAAACAAAGGACAGCTTCACTCAGACTGACTCGGCTCTCCGGAACCGGAGGGAATCCAGAGTCTCCTGCTGCGTCTCGAGGGTCCGGCTGGTCTCCACGGACCACGCGCTTCCCTGAACTGAGAACTGAAAACCCGTCTGCTCGAAACAGAAGCTGAAGGGCAGCTGCAGAATTCTCAGAATAAACTTTGGAAATGTGTGATTATGTAATCATCACCTTATGATCTTCCTCTTATGAAGTTCTATCAAACATACCAACACAGGAAAGTAGTTCCGGTTACTTTCAAATTCCCTTCTTGATAAAGATGGTTCTTCGAGGTAAACTGAATTGTTCTATTCAGAACCATGAGTTCTATATAGAACCATTTCAAATGGCTTTTTGGATGGCGAAATGGTTCTTCTCTCTTCAATGTGTTGTATGTGGTTCTAGCTCCAGAAAAAGTTCTTCCAGTCATGATGTTAAGCTTTTAACAATGTAAACATTAATATATATATAACAATTTTCAAAAATATTCTATGTAGAACCATATAAAACACGTTCTCCATTAATCTGAAGAACGACTTCGCAATGCAAAGCGCCATGTAAGCATGAGATGGTTATACGTAGAACGCATGGTTCTAAATAGAACCATTCTCTTTACACTCAGTGAACCCTTTGCGGGCTGAAGGAGTTCTTTGCGCCGTGAAATGGTTCTTCAGATTGACAGAGATTGTGCTGTATATGGTTTTATATAGAACCTTTTTGAAGGGTTCTACATAGCACCAAAAAGCGTTCTTCTATTGTAACGATGAAAAGCTTGTAACAATAGAGGAACCCTTTTATGTGCTATTTAGTACCCCATTCTCTATCAATCTGAAGAACCGATTCACGATGCAAATAAACTGTTAATCATGCCAAGGGCTCTTTGAGTGTACAAGGTTCTATATAGAACCATTTCTTTACTAAAGAACCCTTGAAGAACCTTCTTTTTTCAAGAATGTACTCTTAAATACCCACTAACTCAGCGCTCATCATAAAACTAAAGAACTAACTCAAAATAAAGACTAAACTATAAATGCACCCTTAAAACAAACAAACTAAACTAAAATCAAAAACCAAAATGAAAAACTAAATAAAAATAAAAAATAATGGAATTTCTAAACTATAAAAACTTGGTACACAACAAAGTCTTCTGGAAAACTAGCGCCACCTCTGAAAATATCAATTATACAGATTTATGGCTTAAAGTATAAATGCTTGACTGAAGAATTCATAAGAGTTCTACACAAATATGAGTTTCACATAAAAATGTACTAACTAAATTCAGCAGCTGCCCATTGACTTCTATTATAAGTGAGCTGAGTGGGTGTTTTTAGTTTGTTTTTTAGGGGAATTATTGTCTGTTGGTAGCAAAAAGCAAACAGGTCGAAAACACTGTATTCCTTCACAAGTACAACAGAGTAAAATCTGCTACACTTTCTTCAGTTTCGGGTACAAACTGGTCCATTTTTGGGGAAAAACATAATTGGGAGATTTATAACAACCTCAGTCACACAGTGACTTTTGGGGTGGATTTATTTCAGGTTCACGGCTGTTTATGGCATTAAGCCTTAAAGGGGAACTCCACCGATATTTCAACATTCCTGTGTAATTGAATGGTGAAGATGTAAACAGAGTCGTTCAGAGTGGTTTGGTGTGAAATGCTCTGTTCTAGCGGTGGTGATAGGAACCAGACGTCCACCTCTAAAAGCTCCTCACAGAAAGTTCCTACATGAAATGGTTATGAATTCACTGCCTGATGACTGAGACACTGTTTATGATAGTTTTGAGAAGATTTTGCCCTATAACTCCATTCATGGTGGAGGGATACCTAACATGCAGGGTGCTGTGAGGCAAAATAGTCCCCAAAGAAAACTTATTATTTCAGATTCTCCACTATTTTCCATCATCAACATTCCATATAAACTCAGAAGACTCATGTAGGTTCACTGGTGGTTCTGGATAGTAAATAAAATGTCTATATTTGTGTCGTAGTCATGGCAACGCCTGGTTCCTATCAGAGTCTACAATGGATCATATCACATTAAACCCCTCTGATTGACTTTAGAAATTGATCTCAACCACTATGTGGAAATTTAAAAATGGGTGGAATTCCCCTTTAACGTCATTGTAAAAGCACTTCAGCCACACACTGTGAGTAGAACTTACTTGGAGTTTAAAGATCCAGAACATCTGCACTTCTGCTGCAGCTCCGCTGATTCATAATTATGAGAGAAACTTTACTCACTGGCCACTTTATTGGAAACCCCGACGCGTAAAGGGAACGGTTCTACAACCATGAACACTCAAAGAGCCATTTGCATGCTTAAATGGATCTTCGCGTGGTCAAACGGTTCTTCAGATCATGGAGAATGTGTTCTGTGTAGCACCAAGAAGGGTTCTGCTATTGTTATGATGCCAAGCTTGTAACTGAAGAACCCTTTTTATAGAACACATTGTCCATCAGTCTAAGGAACCATTTCACCATGAGTGTTCATGGCTCTACATAAAACCATTCCCTTCACTAAGGAACCCTTAAAGAACCATGTTTTTTTTTTTTTGTTCCAGAGTGTACCTCGTACTTCTTCCAGTCTTTAACTGTGTGGCAGCCAGGTGGAGCTACAGGGCAGGGGTTTCTGATAAAGTGGCCGGGGAGCATGATGTGCTGTATTGTATTTCTATGTGTTTTAAGACTGAGATATGAAGCCGACGCCTTTCTGCTGTCAGTACAAACCTCAAACATCGCCAGCTGCTGGGGACGACTACAGCGACTACAGCTGATTTGACGACAAAACTTTTGCCAAAGCTTTTTGTTGCAGGTTAAAGTCGCTAAAAATAACGTAATAAAGTCACATTTGACCCATTCAGTTATTTCCAGATACACTCTTAACAAAGACGGTTCTTCAAGGTTCTTTAGTAAGAAAAATGGTTCAGTATTTAACCATGAACACTCAAAGAAACACTCATGATTAAAGGGTTCTTCAGATTGATGGAGTGTGTGTATGTGGTTCTATACAGTACCAAAAAGGGTTCTGCTATTGTTACGATGTCAAGCTTGTAACAATAGAAGAACCCTTTTAGGTGCCATATGGAGCCCTTTTTCAAAAAGGTTCTATATGGATCTAGCTACAGCACAATCTGAAGAACCCTATCATGATGCAAAGACCACCTTTAATCCTGCAAAGGGTTCTTTGAGTGTTCTTTGAGTGTCTTTGAGGAACCCTTGAAGTACCATCTTTGAGTGGAGTTAGCAAGATTATTAACTGGTGCTTTCATATCCCAGATAGCAAAGCAATCTTACCGCAAAGCTGGCAGCCCACTGGCTTGTCCAGGCTGCCCCCTGGGTGGACAGTCCAGTTTAATTTATTCTTCCTTCATTTCCTTCTTTCCTTATTCTTTGTAAATTAGTAAATAATTTTAATCTAGCAAACTCAGCAACACTTGCAACACAATCATTTATCAGGCCTGGTCTAATAAATTTCTCAGTTTGTAGTACGTGTCTTAGTTTATTTTTCAAAATAAAAGTCTGTGCGCATTTAAAATCTGTTTGAGGAGATCAAAATCTAGTCAGCCCATTTATGCAGGACAGTAATCTAGGTGGTCCGAGGGTGGACCAGCAGTGGCGTAGTCAGCAGGGAGCCACCTTATCAAGCCAGCAGACCTCTATGCGCTTATATCTGGGATATTATATTAATCTGGCTCCTCTGATGTGATTTTTAGCTCATATTTTCAGCTCCATTATTGATATCAAAAGAGCAGAAAAGAATAGCTCAGCTAACAAGTCAGAACAAAAGAAAAAATGAGAGCTTTTACTTACTAAACTCGTTTATGAACCTTTAGGGAAAAGAAATGAAGGCCCACAGACAGCTAGCATTTGTTTATGTATAAAAAGCACTCAGAAAGCATTTTAATCTACGTTAAAGAGCCGTTTGGTTTATTTGAAAAGTGAAAATTACAATTCACTGTTAACATAGTGTAAGTTGATCAAAAACCGCCTTCATTATCATCAATATTCCATATAAACGCTCAGAAGACTCGTGTAGGTTCACCAGTGGATTTGGATAGTAAATAAAATGGCTATGTTTGTGTTGTAGTCATGGCGACCCCTGAATTATGCAGCCAAACTTGAGATGCTCAGTTCCAAATGAGTTGCAAGGCATTTACGTTGTGCAGTTATGCAACTAAAGTTGCATGAACGTTTCACTGTGTAAATCCAGCCTGAGAAGTTGTTGCTTGTTAACTCTGACTCTCAGGCTGTGATGCTAACGCAGGGGTCAGTGTAGTCGTCCCTACAGCCGCTGATGCTTAACGTCCATATTAAAGCTGGCATAACAGGGTCCAACGCACTGTGGGGTCGTGACACACGCGTCACTGAATGTTAAGTCCTGCCACTGTGACGTCGCCGACGTCCGACAGAGCCAAAAAAGTTTAAGCTTTGCGTCCATCTCATGTGGACGTGTGGTGTATGAATGTGTGTGTGTGTGTGTGTGTGTGTGTGTGTGTGTGTGTAAGAGTGTGTTGTGCATGCTTTTGCCAACAGCAGCTAACAGTCTTACCATTTCACAGTCAGCTCACCTTTCTGACCTCCAAAAACAAAAGTATGAATAAACGTAAATTAAACACCAGATCTCTGATCTCCTGTCTTTGATACAAGGCCCTGAAAGGGTCTCTGCTGTGTTCTAAGTGGCCAATATCACTGGATCTTCTGAGCCTGTTAAGAAGCTGAAATGTGATCGTTGCTATATCCAAGCTAAAACTGCTGCGCATCAAACTGACCTCGTAAGACTGACCTCACCAAAACACCCCTCACAAACCAGGACCTCGGTCCAATGTGGTAGTGTAGAGGCTTTGGCAGTTTTACGGTCCTCGTCCACTTCTTCTCACTGGCTTTTTCAGCATTTTCCGAACAGCCCCCTGGTGGACAGTCCAGTTTATCTATTTTTCCTTCATTTCCGTCTTTTGTTATTCTTCTGTTATTAAATTAGTAAACCATTTTAATCTGGCAAACTCAGCAACACTTGCAACACAATCATTTATCAGGCCTGGTTTAATACATTTCTCGGTTTGTGGTATTTGTCTTAGATTATTTTTCAAAATAAAAGTTTAAAGTCTGTTTGAGGAGATTAAAAGATAGTCAGCCCATTTATGCAGGACAGTAATCTGGGTGGTCCGAAGGGTGG